CCCCCCCCCCCCCCCTGGATACACCCTTGTCTACGATACCAGAACGCGAGTATTAACATGCATTGCTATGAAAAAAATTTCGATAAGAATTTATAAAATCGATTATTCTCCTCGATCTTTAAATATAAAACTGGCTTCTCAATTTTACTGAATTTGCGTTTTTCAGTTTTGTGGCCCGTCAAGTTGGATGCGCACGCAACCTTGAGAAAAGGTCTATATGAAGGTAAAATTGTGACAGTTTGAGATAACTATTCATCAAAATAAGCAACACAAAAGATGGAACCACGGCGATGCAAATAACCAATTTCTGTGATAAATTCATAGCTTTTAAGCTGCATCGACAATTGAATACGATTCAGGTTACTGAAGTTATCACATTCAAGGTGGAGCAAGGTGAGCCAAACAGACCTTCCAATTGCCCTAATTCACTATGACGTCACATCAAAACAATCTATTGTTTAAACGCAAAGGATCATGGTCGTCGGAGGGGGTCTAATCAACACAAATTCACCGAAAATTGTTCTAAAACCCGTATCAATCCACGAAGAGAAGTAGAATAGCCAGCAAACGCTCAGAATATTTTTTAGTACATATTAACACATATTATATCTGAAAACCAGGCCATTTTAGATTAAACTGTTTCGCTAGGAGCAAATTGTGTTGTTTTTCTTGATAACTTTTCAATCRAGACATTGAAGGACTTGCTTATCTTCATATCTATACACACTCTATGGTGATTTTTATAATCCCCCACGCACTAACAACAACACAATTGTAGTTTAGGGACTAGTTTCGTCCGTTTATTAGGACCTTTTCAACCTTAGGTTGAATTCTACTCAACTAGAATTAAATGCGTCAACTTAACAAATAAGAGGACAGACAAATAAGAGGACAGATCACACATACAAATCTGAAGTCTATTTGTTTGTTTTTTTTTTACAATAACAAAAACGATAAAAACTTCTCATTTTTAGCGATCAAAACAACCAACGGAAAGGGCGCGCGCTCGTTGACGTCAGCTTATCTGTCTGTCCTCTTATTGATGATAAAAAAATAACCAATCAGCGCGCAAGAAATATGTAAGTTATTGCAAAAATTAGGTTTGACATTACATGTTTTTGTACAGGAATGATGATGATTACGGGGACATTGATGCTAGCGACAAGYACAGTGATCTGATACTCACCTATCAATATCCTCCAGCAATTGTGCGACTAAGGTTAATGGCTTGCGCACGTGGTGTCTCAAGTTTGGCTGTAGCAATGGCAGGGACAAATTCCATAATGTGACACAACCAGCCTAAAAACACCAAAAAAATCATCTAACTGCTAGAATGTTAAGACAGAAGTCGAAGACTTTCTCAAATCTAAAGCCCTCTTTGCGCTCCACCATTGATTAGCGAGTACAAATTGTTGAAAGTTTACAGGTGGCTGGTCCTTGCCTTTTACTGGTTAACCTTTCTCCTAGATAGTGAACTTATTGAAAAAATAACTTCACCTCTACTCAGTGTCTTTTTTTTCCTGCTGAACCCCCCTCCCCCCCCCNCCAAACCCCAAAAACAAAAAATAAAATAAAAAAACTTTGTAAACAGCTTATTTACCATGCTTTTTTTATACCTGAATTACATTTGGATTCCCAAGCCTTGAAGCTGTGATCAGATACTGTTCCAGTTTCTTGATTGCCTGCAGTCTTGTCTGAGAAATTAGAAATGGTCTTATGTTAGGATGATATCATAAAAGGTACGAGGCAAGAGAGCATAAATAAGAGAGGGAAACTTCTAAATAACGCGCGCGCCATGTAAATTCCCGGTTGGGCTATTTTTAGTAACCGGATGCAGTTTAAGTTACGACTTACCCTACTCCCGTGCGTCATCAACTTGCGCGCGTGCGCTCTTTCCGCTTATTGTTTTGATCGCTCAAAACGATACGGAAAGAGCGCACGCAAATTGATGGCGCACGGGAGTAGGGTAAGGCGAAATTATTGTACTCATTGGTTTCTTGACAACGAAAAGGAATTGGTTTAATTAACCTTTMTTTTATTTTTCCATTCAGTAATAAATACCATAGTTATAAATGTCTAAAAAGAATACAATATCAATAGCTTCTCCTGAAAGTCTAGTTCAAACAGTGCATGATTGGTCAGTTGAATGACACGTTCAAACAACGTGATGTTTTGACTTAGCAAGGGCATAAGCGGGGGCAACAAAATGGCGGCTTTTTGGAATTTATACGGTAATTCTTATTTGCTTTGCTAAGTTTTGCAAAATGAAAGCGCAAAACGAAATGCCGTTTTTTTGTCTTTATTTTTTTTGGTTCAGCGTTTTAGGTGCCCAAACAGAATGGCAGATTTTTGAATCCCCCCTCCCCCCCCCCCCCCCCCGGGAAAATCCTCGCTGTGCCCCTGACGTGCCAGCATCGCAAAAGAATTGACACGTCAAGCTTTATATGCTAAGCTGCTAATAGAGTAGAATTGACCTATAACGTTATGACGTCACAGCTTGTTTACATGGGCAAGAATGATAGGAATTTAGGCGAAATTTTCTTTCGTTCAGGATATTTAGTACAACATTTATCTGATGTGACGTCATAGTGTTATAGGGCAATTAACGAGGTAGGGAATACAAATAAGGAGTGGTGGGCATAAAATGAAGAAAGAAATCTACCTCAACTACATTTTTGCTGTAATTTTCTTTCTTGTTTCCAAGAGATTTCACCATCAAATCAAACTTCATAAACTCTACTTCAAATGACGTAGCTTTATCCTGCAAGAATAATCAGGATTATTAGAATTTTTTAAATGACTAATTTTGCGTAAGTGTCAATAAATATCAATAAGAACTTTAGTTTTGAGTACAATATTTAAACATTTTCGGCATAATCTACACAAATGAGAAAGAAATTAGGAAGAGATGCCTTGTAAAAGTTAGTTCAACGAGTGTCATGTCTTGTGATGCCATACATGTGTTGTGTATATATGCTGTAGTAATAACTTCATATCAAGGAAAATTTTTTTCCTTTCAAAATCACTTATATGTGAACAGTGTAGTAGTATGGTTGCAGTATTTTTGTATGCAAATTTTTCTTTTAGGAGATATAAACATTTGAAATATCAATATGCAAATGATATGACGTAAATTCAAGACTAATTTATTATACAAAAATGTTGTTGTGGAAAGTACTGCTGTTTTTTCACTTGCAAATTATCCTTATGATTGAAATATATGGCCTTGTACACTTTTAGTTTATTTCACTTCAGAACACTTGTCGTAAATTACACTACAAAATGTAACCCATTCTTGAATTTATGTCATCTCATTTGCATATTGATATTTCAAATGTTTATATCTACAATTACAGTTTACAGTTACAGTTTATTTGTTTCGTCATGAAAATAAACTTAGTTAATACAATAACAAAATATATCAAAATAAGACAAGGATGCTCTTAATGAATGCTTGAACATAAAAAGAGAGGTCCACATACAAAAATACTGCAACCATTCTACTACACTGTTCACATATAAGTGATTTTGATAATAATATTTTTTCCTTGATTTAACAGATCAAAAACAGTTTTCCGTGTTTGATAATCTGATCAAAACACGCAGGATGTTGGGAGAACASGAGAGGAGCGCAGGAAACCACGACGCRTAGCGGAGTGGTTTCCAGCTTCTCGAGTGTTCTCCCAACATCCCAAGTGTTTTGATCAGAGTATCAAACACAGAAAACTGTTTTTGATTTGTTTTATAAAATAACAAACGCACGAAAAGATCGAAAAAAAGCAAAGTCTAAGTAAATTCTCCCTACGTGCCGTCTTATTCAAACTGACCAATGAGCGCACGCGATAGATTAAAAATGACGATAGAGTGTTTTGATACTCTCATCAAACATGGTTTTCAACCAATCATAGCACACGTAGTAGACCAATTATTTCATAAATACACTTTAATTATAATTAATGATTATAGATCATTGTACCTGCATCCTGAATATTCTGGATCACTGGTTTAAAAATACACAATTTCACTTTACCTTTATGCATGTGGGTCCTTTTAAGATTTCCAAACAATCTGCTGCAAGTTCGTGGCAGTCATTTTCTAGGCAAAGCCTTGTTAGATCAATCARAAGGGGCACCCTAGAATACAGAAATTCAATCTTCAATATAATTAAATGGACCAACTTACCAAATAAAAAAATATATTTTATTATTTTTCTGCCAGTAAGTTTTCAAACAATTGATTCTCGACTAGTATTCTATAATCTAGTTTCCTGAATGATTGACTGATACAAGTAAGAGGGATAAATGGATGTTCCATCTCAGACTGTACAATTAGTATAGGTAATAGGACTACATGCATTGCTGTCCAATGTGAAAATATAATTGGATGAAAAAAATTCTGAGGAACGACAAAATTGGACAAGGCCGATAGGCCGAATCCAACTTATTGGCAGTCAGAGGAATTTTTTTAATTCAATTATTTCCAAAGTGGACAGACATGTAGTCCTATTGCAGATTAATTATATCCTCCCAAACTATACAAGACTGATTTCATAAGTCACAGTTATCCCTCGAAAGAATGCGAATGAAAACGATCCAAATTAATCTTTAGTTTGGACAGGAAAGAGAATTTGAAAATAATACAATAGTTGCTTATATGGGATTATAGAGTGATGGTATAATTAAACTAAATAATACATAATAATAATAATAATAATAATAATAATAATGATAATGATAATACGAATATTTATGCAGGATAAAGACCCTTCAACAATAATGCTGTTATCAATGGGGTCCTGCTAAAAATAACATAAAGAAACTAAATGTTAAAAAAACTAAAATAAAAAATAGTCTCTAAAATAATAAATATAAATTAGATCATATACAATAAATTCAATTATAGTGTTCATCTAAAAGTTTTTTTAAATCCTTAAAATTTTTTGTCCTTCTTATATCTATAGGAAGATATAATATCACATTATTATGATTAGCAGTTGTTGGGGGACACCAACCATAGCATGACAACTACACATATTATTTACTTTCTGTATACTAATAAAATGAATAAAACAGTAAGTTATTTCCATGCTCCACCCAGTAACAGAGCAATTAAGATAAGTGCCCAAAGCACTCAAGAGGTTTGAGAAGCCAATATTTTTGAATACATCACTTGCTGCATGCTTTATTACTTTAAAAAATTACTTTAGGGAAGCACGGGTGGTGTAGCAGTTTGAGCGCTCACCCCTAATCAGTGCGATCTAAGTTCGAGTCCCGCCGGGTTCAATGTTGTATATGATTAGAGTTGTTTGTTGGTTCTCTCCCGTGCTTCAAGGGTTTTCCAGGTTCTCTGGTTTTCCTCCCTCCACAAAAATCAACTCCTAAATTCCAATTCGATCTCGGAACGAGGGCCACAGGTTTGTTAGCCACTGACTATTAAGTGCTACCGTCATGGAAAAAAATCCCCTTTTTTTAGCTGAGCAAGGAAAAAGCTGTTTTGTTTGTTAATTCATGAACACATTCAACCTACTTGTCAGATACTCCATTAGCCATCGGTGAGCTGGCAAAATTGCTGACAGGTGTGTTAGACATCTCAGTACTAGATCTGTCTGTATCTAATCCTCCTTTCACTATCATCTTGTAGATCTTTCCCAGCTCTTGGTGGATGTCTACTTTTTCTCCTGCCTCCAAAACACTTACAATAATATTGAGATAAGGGAGAAAATTATATAACCATCATTGATGGATGGACTGATGTGATTGATGTGATAGGCACGATGGATGGATAGATGAATGGATGGATGGATGGACGGACGGACGGATGGATGGATGGATGGATGGATG